ATCAAATGTGCGTCCCCCCGTGAGGCGGGGGTGGGCCCAGACCGGCCCTCCTCCTGGGAGCCCGCCCGCCAGGGGCTTCTGTCTCCGGCCCCTCCTGACTGGGCCCCGGGGGGGTGCCCAGGCCCTGGGGGCAGACGGGCCCCCTCTGTCCTCGGTGGGTGCCATGCTCAGCCCGGCTGCCAGCAGCTCCATTGGACCCTCTTAACACAGCGGTTCTCAACCTTCCTGATGCCACGACCCTTTAATACAGTTCCTCCTGTTGTGGGGACCCCCAACCATAACATTATTTCCGTTGCTACTTCATAACTGTCATGTTGTTACTGTTGTGAATCGTCATGTAAATATCTGATATGCAGGATGTATTTTCATTGTTAGAAATTGAACATCATGAAAGCATAGTGATTAATATTTCCCCCTCTTATACTCTTATGATACTGTGTATCTTACCTTGGTAGAATTTATAAGTTATCATCTGCTTAATATGTCTAGCAAATTGGATAGAAACCTCTTTGGAGGCGAGTACTCTGATTGTTTTTGCCCAGCATTGTATTCTGAGCACTCAGGACAGTGACTGGCACATGGCGCCCAATGAAGTGATGAATGAATGAATGAATGAATGAATGAATGAGTGACGCCCCCTCACGCTCCTGGGGGCGGCTGCCCGTTGACCTGGAGATGAATGAATGAATGAATGAATGAGTGAGTGACGCCCCCTCGCACTCCTGGGTGCGGCTGCCCGCTGACCTGGGGGTCAGAGACGTGGTCCTTTCTCGCGTCAAAGGTCAAGGGTGTCTCTGGAGGAAGAGCGCAAACCCAGCAGGTGTTTCCAGTGGAAAAGGGACCGCGCCCGGGACAGGCACGGCGAGGACAGGTCAGGGCGGGAAGGCCAGGGCACCGGACGCAGGCTTCTCTAACCCGAGCTCCGGGGAACACACGCTTCTCTCCGAGCCCTGGTTCTGGGCTGGGGGATCCGCTAATTCATCCCCAGCTGCCCGATCCCGCCGGGGTGGAGTCGGCTCCCCGGATCCCGGGCCCCGGATCCCGGGCCCCCGTCGAGGGGCAGGCGTGCGGTCCTCAATTCTCAAGGGCGTTTTCTGTTTTGATTTTTAAATGTTTTTATTGGTTTCAGAGAGGGAGGGAGAGGGAGAGAGAGCTTTGAGAGAGGAAGGAAGAAGGGGAGAGAAATAGAAACGTCAGTGATGAGAATGAAACATCAACTGGCTGCCTCTCCCCCACCCCCCACCAGGGATCGAGCCCACAATCTGGGCCTGTGCCCTGACCGGGAATCGGACTGTGACCCCCTGGTGCCTAGGTCGGTGCTCAGCCCCTGAGCCACGCCGGCCGGGCCAGAGCCACGTGTCTGTGGTTGGATGGGAAGCCCTGCGCTCCCCTCTGTCCAGGGCTCGCCCCCAGCGCCTGCACGGCCCGGAGGTGGTGAGCTCAGTGGGTAGGAGGGAGTGAATGGCCTGGTACGTCACTGGCTGCCCCGCACGGTGTCGCCTCCGTGGCTGAGCCTTTAGAACATTTCTCAGTGCTTCCCCCCCCATTCCCCCCCCCACAACACCCCGTCCCCAGGCCAGAGAGAGAGAGGCGCCAGTTCCTGCCGAACTCCAGCTTCCTGCCCTCCCCTCAGGGCGGGAGGCGCCTTATTTCCAGAAAGCGGCTCCCTGGGCCCGGGCCGCAGCGAGGGGCTGGCAGTGCGGGGACCAGGTTGTGGCGCCGGAGGGACTCGGCCATCTCGCCCGTGGCCTCCCCCCCGACCACTGTCTCCCTCCTCCTGCCTGTCAGTGAGGCCATAGCTGAGGCCTCCCGTGTG